CTGCTGAATTGACTAAAACTAGCAGCTCTTCTCCCTACCTTTTTTTTTTTAAGAGAACAAAACCAATCAGAATGGGACATATTCAGTGGCTGGATAATGGTGTGCAGTCAAGAGTGCAGGGGAAGATTCTTTCATGCAAATAGCAAAACAGAACTATATGGATACAAACCTTGTGAAGGCAATCAGAGCAATGAAACTTTTTACGGAGAAGGAGATTGCATCAATCTGCGTCTGCTCAGCTCCTCCGAGCAGTTAGTTTCTGACGGGCTTAATGGCACATTAGGCTGACACTCCAGGTTTCAGCTCCGCAGCTTGCCATGGTTGAATTTACAAAAGGGTTGACGTTTTTTAAAAAAATTCCACTGGCACAGAGGAATCACCACTCTATTTATAAAGGAATAGGTTCTAGAATTAAGATTGTCCTAAAAGCCACTTCCTTTAAACCCAAAAACTCTGCTCCGCATTTCATAGTAGGAAGAAGGGGAAATGTTGATTCTGACTCCTTTCAGGGTTTCCAGGTGGAGGATACACAGAAGTGGTTTACCATTCCCTTCTTCTGAGGATGTCCTTGCCCAAGGCTACACAGACTGGCTTTTCTCCTTGGAGACACAGTGGGGAATCGAACTCCCAACCCAGACACCTAAACTACTGAGCCAAAGAGTATGTTAATAAATTCTACAAGCAGGACATGCAACAAAATGTTACAGCATTCCTTTTTGGGGACTTCAGACTGACGGCCGTGCCCTTTTCCAAGATAATCTACACATCCCATCATTTCCAGATTAGCTGACTTTCTTTTGTGACTGGTTCTCGAACGGTCGCCATGGGCTTCGCTTACAAAAGTGACTGCTCAGACCCAAATGTCTAGCAAAAGCAAGTATATAGAACACTAACATGACCTCATCTTTTAATGACACGCCGTCTCTGGTGTATGATTTGATCCACAGGCTCAAGACAGAAGTGTGAAAGGAACCAGAATCCTCCATGCTTCGATGCTGTTGGTCCAAATTTTATGCTGTCTTTAAAATAAATCCTCAGACTTGTTCTAGTCAACAGATATTTTTTGTTTTCAAATGGAGGACACAGCTAGTTTGTCAGAATTGAGGCTGCCGCCAAAAGAATCCCAAGTGGAACTCTGCTCCATAATTTATGGCTGGAAGAAGTGAAAATGTGCTTATATATAAATAAAGAAAGGTAAAGGTAAAGATTCCCCTTGACATTTAATCCACTTGTGTCTGACTCTAGGACGCGGTACTCATCCCCATCTCCAAGCCGAAGAGCCAGCGTTTGTCCATAGACAGTTTCCGTGGTCACGTGGCCAGCGCGACTAGACACGGAACGCCATTACCTTCCCACCGAGGTGGTACCTATTTATCTACTTGCATTTTTTACATGCTTTTGAACTGCTAGGTTGGCAGGAGCTGGGACAAGCGACGGGAGCTCGCTCCATCGCGTGGATTCGATCTTACGACTGCTGGTCTTCTGACCTTGCAGCACAGAGGCTTCTCTGCGCCACCACGTCCCTCTATAAAGAAAGAAAAGGGGTTGCTAATAAACTGTACAAGCAGGACCTGCAAGCGTCTCCAACAATGCTTGCTATTTTGGCAGCATTACACATTTGATCTCATTAAATTCTATTAATGTAAGACCGTGCATGCTTTTGAATTCTTATTCTTCTTCTTTTTAACTACACAGAGAATTTGGGATGTGATTTCTCAAAGTATGGTGCCTCTAACAAAGAGTGAGAGAAATACAGAGGAAACCAGATTGGGGGGAGGGGGGGGAGGACAAGAAGGAAAGTTGTTTGAATAAACCAGATAGGAAAAGGAAATCATAAACCAAGAATGAACCTAGATAAATTCTATTAATGTAAGACCGTGCATGCCTTTGAATTCTTCTTCTTCTTCTTTTTCTTTTTAACTACATAGAGAATTTGGGATGTGATTTCTTAAAGTATGGTGCCTCTAATAAAGAGCTGGTCTAATACAGAGGAAACCAGATTGGGGGGAGGGGGGGGGGGACAAGAAGGAAAGTTGTTTGAATAAACCAGATAGGAAAAGGAAATCATAAACCAAGAATGAACCTAGATTTTAAAAAGACACTTGAGAAGCAAAAAATAAAAATAAAAATGCATGCACAGAAAAGGCCCCAAACAAATCAGTCAGAACACAGGAACTCTCTATGCTTAAAAGCTATGAAGTCACAGACTGGTCCGTGAATCATAATTCACAATCGGTTGCTGCCACTTGGCATGGAATCCCTCCAAGCACACCTTCGCTTCAGACCAGCCAGACTGACTCCTAACCTTAAATACCTTGAAGCTGCTGTACTTTAAGGGCAATAAATGTTAGCAAGACACATAGTGGCCTCAGATAAATACAATAAAAGCAATAAAAGGGATTTGATTCTCCTGATGAGTCATTGCAAGGAGACATGCAGACAAGTGCTCAGTGCCAGCAGGTGAAAGATTGCTGATGTTAGAAGCAATTGCCTGACAATCCTTTGTCAGATATTAAAATTGTGGCATCCATTTTGCATATCTGTCAGACAAACCAAAGACCGTGGCATCACTCCCAACTAGGCAGAAACATATCTTTAGGGCTCAAACTGAAGTCAGTCAGAAGAAACAGCACCTTGAAATTTACCATCAAGTCATATTCTGCATCAACACAAGCTCTGAAGGAATGTAATTTTTTTTCAAAGCTTGCAAGTTAGCCATCTCTAAGATTCTCAATAACATTTTACCCTTTGTCCAGCAAGAACACTGAAGCCGGGAACAAAATTTATTATAGTTAAGGTCGCACTCATTTACTCAGTGGGGCATAATTCCACCTAGACAGGTACAGGGCGCACACTGTGTGTGTACTGGGGAATTCAGACTATACTGTATTATCCACTTCCAAATGAAAACAACAACAACATTCTAATACTCAATTATGATAAAAGTGACAAAAAAAGGATAGAAAGGATAAATTAAATCAGATGACCAAGCAACTGTTTCACCAGTTTAACAAGCAGAAAAATATCTTGTGAAAAAGCAGCTTCAAATCACACAGAATCTCCAAGCAGCTATCCTTGATTGTATCTACACCTACCCAGACCTTGATCATGGGTTATTCTGTAATCTTGCTATCCTCTACACTTTCATTATTGAATCAAATATTTTATCGCTTTCAAAACCAATCAGGCTGTACACAGAAATTAAGCCACTTTTAAAAGACGCTATACAAATTTCATTATGCCATCTGGAGAAAGCACCTGAATGAACTATATCTTGGCATACTACTTCATCGTGATCAAAATATAGGGAGATTCCCAGTAAAATTAACTCAGATTTTACAAGCAGCAAACATTAGACATCAATGCTCCATATGTCTCTTTCTACAATCTACGCCTCTCTAAGAGGAAGCCTCAAGGAATAACTATATGGCCAAGGTCTTAACTGAAAGGGTGCAGACTGCATTTGACAGATATATTCACAATGTACTCTGACTAAAAATATAGCTAGAAAAATACATACATAGATCAGAAAAATTATCTGTACCTAGTTGTTAGCAGCTTTAGTAGTTGAGTAAGTCTTCTCCTAATGTTCAGGGACTTATTTACATTTCCTTTAAGGTTAATTCAGTAGTTAGAGCCTCCCCACTCAGTGGTACAAAGCAGACAGTCTGCCTTTGCTATTGTACAAAAAGGGTTCTAAAATTATCTCATTGGCTTTGTTTAGACAAGAGGTGGGTAGACTTCAGGCTTATGGCATCTACTTCGCTTTTCACTAGAGTCTCAAGATCCGCCAACTAGACCCTGGGGCAAAAAAAACAAACAAAAACAAATGGCTAAAATCCAATTGTGGAAAATTGTGCAAATAATAGTAATTGTGCAAATGTTTTTTGTCCTTTACCAGAGGGTAGCAATAAGTGTGATAAATAGCCATCAAGACACTTCTTACCACTTAGACATGGGAGTCCCATGGGGTCACGTTCAAAAGCTTCTTGCCTTTACGTATAGTTTGCCATTTATACATGTATTGACTAAGCTGACACTTCTTACCACTTAGACATGGGAGTCCGTTTCCGGGTCACGTTCAAAAGCTTCTTGCCTTTACGTATAGTTTGCCATTTATACATGTATTGACTAAGCTGCACTTACCAAAAATACACATAGCTATGTTGTGACTCTTTGAAATAAGCAGCAGACGCAAAAGCCATGGCTTAGACCACCACGAAATAGACAAAATGTCCTTGCAAGAACAAGCCCAGAATAAGCTGAGTATGTTGCTTTGAATCATTTCTAGGGATAAAAAGCTGGATTCAAAAGAACCAAGAAGAAAACAATTCAACTGGAAAGGAAAATTGCAAAAACTTGTCCTAGAGCTTGGGAAAAAGTTTACGCAGTTCTGTAACTGGCAGGTCCTTCTGCTTGTGTACAGTGATGCAGAAACAGGAAAGGGTTATTGGGTCAGGATTAATCTTTCTCACACAAAATTCTAGTGCGAGTTGTACAACCGCCTTATTGCAAACATAAAACAACTTCCATACGTGGATAACATGAAAATGTCATAAACAATGTCAGACTCTACTGACACTCTACTTAGCCTCATATTTGGATGAGCAAGCTTTGATAGTCTTCCATGTTATCTCCTACCTGATCCCTTGAACTAGAGATCCCCAAAACTGAAGCCAAGATCAAAAACCTTCTATGAGCAAAGAACATACTGTAGCAATGACCTACATACCCTTTCCTACAAGTGCAATTAGCTTCATCAAAGCATAGGAAGTGGCTTTATACCAGGTCAGTATTTCATGTTCTCGAGTGCTTCTGTTTCTCTAGAATTTCAGGCCACATCATCTACCGGATCCTTTTAACTGGAAATACAAGGTACTGTACCTGGCATCTCTTTCATACACTCTGTAGCAATGCCAGGCTCCACTCCAAAGATTTGTTTGCAACTGGTTTGTCCATACATACTCATCTTTTTTATGGAACATAAAAAGGGTTCTTACCTTATTAAATTCTTAAACTGAGACTGGTTCCATGAGACCCAAGGGAAGATGACTCTGGAATGACAAATAAAAATATGAGCCTAAATGACAGAATACTGGTGGTAATACATTAACATATAGACAGTACATGACTTGTAAAATATACTAAATAAATAAAACATTTGTATTCCATCATTTTGTGAAATTTAAAACTAACAAGGTAGCTAACAAGTAATGCATTATAAGAAAACCTTTAAGTGTAAACAATTTACAAGAGAATAGCAAAACCTTTTCAGTAACCTCTACACAGTCCATCAGTGTAAACTGTTATTACATATTGGGGGACGGGGTTTTAGAGGGAAGCTGAGAAAAAAATATATATATAGAGAGAGAGAGAGACGAAAAAAGCACTCTTGCTGAAGTCCACAGTTGTTATTGTTGTTGTCATTTAGTCATGTCCTACTCTTCGTGACCCCACGGATCAGAGCATGCCAGGCCCTCCTGTCTTCCACTGCCTCCCGGAGTTGGGTCAGATTCATGTTGGTTGCTTCGCAGACACTGTCCAGCCATCTCCATCCTCTGTCGTCCCCTTCTCCTCCTGCCTTCACACTCTCCCAACATCAGGGTCTTTTCCAGGGAGTCTTCTCTTCTCATGAGAAGTCCACAGTAGTAATAATGTAAGATTCAATGAACAGATCTCTTTACAATCTTTCCTTGCACATTAGAGCATCCTTAATTAGTCCCATGATCAATTAAATAAAAAACGTGTTCAGCCAGGTCAAGCCAATTCACCTTCTGTTTCTTTATTCTTTATTTTCTATTTATAAGCAGAAGCAGAGGAGAGACAGGCATGGCTTTCATCCAAGGTATTTTTGTGCTGATAGCATGAACTCTTCATAGATTTCAGAAAATCTAAACATTCATTTTTAAACAACAAACACACTCTGAGCCCATGGGGGGGAAAACAAATGCTTCTGAAAATAAGCCAGGAAACATGGTCAAATAACTAGAAACAATATTTGGAAGCATAACTTTTTGCAACATCAATCCTGTATATTATTTCCAACTATGGGGCTGACAGCAAGAGAGAGGGAGGGAGAAAAGAAAAGAGAAAAGGGGGAAAAAAAAGAAAAAGTCCATCTCTCACTTCCTCCTTATCTTCCAACCAGGAACTTTATTCCCAACCCATCTATCTAAGCCCTCATCATCTGCTTCTAGCTTTGGATGCTTGAGCACCTTCTAAGAAGCCTACCATCTTGATTTTCCTCTCATTACCTCTGACTCACAGGATCTGGAACACAATATTCCAGTCAACATTTTACACACATACACAGAGACAGACAGACAGACAGACACACACACACAAACACAGAGAGCACACACTTGAAACACAGCAGACTCAAAGAAAACAATTTAAGGTGATCAAACATGTTAACAGGAATTGCATGCAGTTAAATAAATTCTGACTTTATGGTGATCGTTTTGAGGGGTTTCCATTCATTCTCTCCTTCCAGAGTGTCCTGGAAACCATGCAGTTTCCTCAAGGGCACACAGGCTAGCTGTTCTAGCATGCACAGTGGGGAATTAATTTCTCATTCTCTGGCTCCGCAACCAGAAACCTTCAACCAGAGGAATAACCCAAGCTGCAATATTTTTGCAAATATCGCCCATATTACATAGAGGCATATACTGTATTGCAGTTTGGAATATTTCCTTTCTGTATCTTAATTAACGATGTCAGCTTCATGCCACAATAAACTCTACATGTGCCACAGCGATTTCTGCTAGGGATATAAAATCCTTGCTTGTCTCACCCTCGCATGCAATGATGAGATGCAGTTTTTTTCCTCCTTGCCCAGAGATGGGGCAAAATAATTGCTTGTGCTTTCAACAACAGTATCCACCCTGGCGAAATAGGGGGTCTGCGCAAACCAACAGCTGCTGTGTTGTTGTATGGACTGTTAAAAATTAGCAGCAGCAGGCCTGTTTGCATCTCTTTTGTCAATCATCCAGTCCTTCTATGCTTGGTGTATGCGTTGATTTATATAACAGAGAAAGGCATCCCCTTGTCACAGAAAAATTCTGCATAATTTACAGAGACCCTGATGAACGCAAAAGCACTCTTCGTCTCATTTACAAGAACAGAAATCTCCCAGTGCTTCAAATTTCCTCAGTGACATGTCTCGACACATTGAAACAGCCTCCATTGATGAGAACAAGAAATTTATTGAGTATACAGTACTTCACCACCCTACTTTCCACTCTAAGAAGTCCAACATGGCAACTGATCTTGAATGTGCAGAATGTACGTATCTGCCAGCATTTGGCATCTGCCAAGCCCACAACAACAATATGCAGATTCAGCTAATGCTCTGCAACTATAATATGCAAATTAGGGGCAGTCTGATCTATTCTTGCTGTGGCTATTGGCACTGAACAAATTTGTTGACACCCTTCCTCCCAAGACAGATGATCCTCATTTGCAATCGACTCTTAAGTAAACAAGGCTGAAAAAACACAACCTTCCTTCTTTAAAAACATAGCCGCTTCTTTTCTTTTCCTAGGGAGAGCAACACTTGATTTCCAAAGAGCCAAGACCTCAGAGGGAATTTCAGAACATAATAAGCGACGGCTCTCTTCGGAGACCCAAGTTCAGAAAAAGTGTTTTCCTTTGTAACTGGGGCTGTCCATTGTGACAAGATCAAAGCATTTTTGCTACCATCTGGGAGACAGTAAAATGAAGAAAGGGGGAAAAGGCTCCAGTCGAGGGGAAAGGGGCTCATATTTAGAATTCCTTCCATTCTGCAGGAGCAGTCTGCGGGCTTTCAGAGACATCATAGAGGCTGTGGAGGATGGCTCAACCGGAGATTCCCAAAGGGATTAAACCAAATGGGGAAGCGAGGTGGGGTGGGGGGGGAGGGAAGGAGCCAAGCCAGGCAAATATGCAAGTTTCACGTACCAAGCATTCCTTTCTGTAATTCATGAAGCATGAAATTGCCTCAATATATTAATTGGCTTTGGACCAAAACAATCCTCATTTACCAGTTCAAGAGCAAAACAAATCTATGTATACAAAACTGACACGCCTAATGTGTTGGTTTCATGGATTTTAGGATTAAAACGTTTGTTTATTTTTTTCCTTCCGCCACCAACACTACCTTTGCAAATTACTCCGTCGCGTTTCAGCACATTTTTAACAGTTTCAAAAAGCGCTTCATTTTTGCGTCCGTTCCCTAAGTGCTAACGCAACAGGCATTTATGATTCATGTTCATGTTGGGGGGGGGGGGAAGCTGAACCAACCTCAACCAAGATGGAATAGACAATAAAATCCCTACATATGAAATACTAAGATCAAGCCTGAGGAGACTGGCCTTATGGTGCTTGTCCTCTGAAGCCAGATCTATTTTCTTCTGCCACATATTGGAGAATGAACCATCCTGACTAAATTCTGTCCCCTGGTGCTCAGCATCTTACGTTTTGTCAGAATGGATGTACCTGCGTTCTCCTAACTCTCATTTTAGCCCGGTCTATCTTTACCGCTGAGCTATCAAATCAAGAAACTGCAGCTACCCAGGTCTGATTGTCCCCTTCTGCCTCCATGGCTTCCAGCTGCGTGTGCTATATTTTCACAGTTGTGGCTGCAACTCCAGCACTTTGTGTGTTTGTGTGTGTGTGTGTGTGTGTGTGTGTGTGTGTGTGTGTGTGTGTGTGTGTGTGTGTGTGTAATTTTTTTTAACTCAGGAAGATGGCAAGTTTGCACTTGAAGTATGAATCGTTCTTTTTTTAATCATTTCTTTCTTACACACCCCAAAACTCAAAAATGTAATTCTCTCTTCCTAGGAAAGTTGATGTGTGTGTGTGTGTGTGTGTGCGTGTAATTTTTTTAACTCAGTAAAATGGCGAGTTTGCACTTGAAGTATGAATCATTCTCTTTTTTTGAATAATTTCTTTCCTACACACCCCAAAACTCAAAAATGTGATTCTTCTTCCTAGGAAAGTTGCTCCAGCCTCCAGACCATTGTGGTTATGCCCTTCCAAGCTTTCTCCAGGGCTACAGCATCTCCCTCCAGCCGAAGTCATTAAACGGCATGCAGTATTCCAAGTGTGATCACAGTACACCATGGATGCGTGCAAAGGCATTGCAGTGTTCTTCTGTTCTTGTAGGCTTATTTTGATTGTTGCTAATTAGATTGTTAATTAAACCTCGTCAAGGCAGCAAAGATTTTTTTTTGAGACTTAATAGCTTATTATTATATTCTTATCACCTTTAAGAAGCTCAAAGCAGGAACACAGCCATTCCCCTCTTCCTTCAGAGCCTTCCTGTGAAATATATTTAGTGAAGGAAGTGTGAGTAGCCCAGGGTCATCCAGTGAAAATCTGAACCCAGATCATAACTCACATAACATTTTAAGAAATAGTACTTTACATAGGGCAGAGCGCCGGCTCTAGCTTTTCAGAAGCCTTTGGACAAAGTGGTTGATCTCCAGGAGCCACCAGGTTACTTCCTATGATGCTTGTGACACGTGGGTTGTGTGGGAAATTTAAGTGGTGGCTACCGAAGGCGAAGTCGCTTTTAAAAAGTGGCCCACAGCCACCCGGAAATGCAACATGTTGATCTGGGGACGGATAACTCTCAGTTGAAGCATTAGTATGAAAACCCAGATCGTCAGAGCAAACTCAAAGAGTCAGGCAGGCCACACAAACAGCCCTCTTAAATGCCCAATTAATTTCTCTGTGGCATGCTTGCAAGTGTCGTAAGACTTATGGAATAAATCAAATACTGTATGTAACTCACAACCAAACAACTCAAAGCCTAGCCTCATAATTTCAAGCACTCTACCTGCCAGTTGAAAAAGCTGAGCGCATAAAGGAACTTCCCACAAAGCTAAAAAAAGACTGCTAAGTTTGAGAGAAATGCCCTCCGTCCGCCAAAGGTGCATTTGGGGTTTCTTACAGGGAGTGCTTCATAACTCTATAACACTCCCTTGTGTTCTACCTTTCTGTTTATAACACTATTACAGATCATTGTTATTGCAGTTCCGTACTGTATATCTAATTGACAACCAACGGATAC